TTTTATTGTTAGTGGCACCATAAATAACTTTCTATAGTAGTCTTCTAGTTCATGTGCAAGTATATCTATTCAGCAAACTCCCAGAAGTGAAATTGCTGTGTAAAGGATAAACTAATTTGGAATTCGTATAGATATTAGCTATTTATACTCTACCAGGAACATATCTGTGTTCTTTTAGCTTTGCCAACAGAAGGGATCATGAAACTTGGATATTTTCTTATCTAATGGGTGAAAAATGGTAACCTTTTATTAAGAACATCGTTCAGTTGGATCCATGTTCCATCAGCCTCTGTTGAGGACCTTCTAGCTCTGGTGATGTAGTGCCTAAGGCATTGGACTGTTAACCAGAAGGCTGACGGTTCAAACCCACTAGCCACTCCTTGGAAGGAAGACTGAGCAATCTACTTCCATAGAGATACCACCTCAGAAACCTAAGGAAGGGTCGCTGTGAGTCGGAATCAACTCAGTGGCAGTGAGTTTGGTTTTTTGGTTTTGCCCGCTCCTAGGAGTCCTGGCTGAGCACTTGACTGCTAACCAAAAGGTCAGCAGTTAGAACTCCACCAGCCACTCTGTAGAAGGATGTGGCATTCTGCTTCCATAAAAATTTACCACCTTGGAAACCCTATGGAGAAGTTCTGTCCTGTCCTGTAGGGTCGCTGTGAGTTAGAATCGATTTGACAGCAACCAGTTTGCTTTTGTTTTTTTTCTACTCCTGCTGCTCTCCTATCCTGGTTAAGGTTTTGACCAGCTTCCCATCTACTGTGAGAATAATACTGGATGGGCCTTGGAGCTAGACCTGGTTTCAAACCCTGTCCACCATGTACAAGTCCAGTAATGTCAGGCAAATTGCCAACTCTTTCTGAGGTTTGTTTTTCATCTGTACAATGGAGATGCCCTCATAGGGCTGTTTGAGCATCAAATCAGAAATGCCTGTTGGTGAGTTGCATAAGAATGTCTTATAGACCCTACAAAGGACTTCTGATCACTGGCACATTGGAATGGGGTTTTCAAATGTCAAGAAGAGGAATTTAGATCTAACATATCAGGGAGATGCGTCTCTATCTCCAGAAATGGTTGGCCTGTGTCATGACCTAGGCTTTCTGTAAAAAACATGGTCAAAATGCCTGACCCCCTCTAACTTCACAAGAGGGCAAGAGGATCGTTATCAGTTTCAACAGCCCAAGGCTGTTTGCTGTGAGGCAGAAGTCAGATATACCTCTGCCCTCCAACTTTTTTACCAGCACACTCTACTTCTTTCTGGGTTCTATAATTCCTTGCAATGGCTACACAGAACTCTTAGACCATACTTACAGTTACAGGGTTTATTAGAGAAGTAACAGGTTACAATTCAGGCTCAAGAATGTTCAGGATACAGTTCCTCGAAAAGGACAGCCTCCTCTCAGCTGTGCCCCAGGCAGGCCTTTCTCTAATATGCCCACCACATAGACCTTTTGTGCCAGCCTGGCCTGTACTGCTCAGGCAAGTGTTACAGAGCTCTTTTAGCTCTGCTGATAAATGTCTAGAGGCATATTACTCTGCCAGCAAGCATCACCCCAAACTTAGCTTTCTTGCTCCATGAGCCAGGAAGCCCATACCGCCATATCCTGCTGGTCTCCTAGTTCTCCTGCCTCTGTTGTTGCTATTTCTCAGCTACTGCTTCTCACTGACTCTCTGGTGTTATGGTTCTCTCTCTTTCTCTTCTGGGCCTAGGAGGCTCCCAGCACAGGGACTTTGGGTCCAAAGGACATTCTCCATTCCTGGTTCTTTTTTGTTGATGGTCTTGAGCTTCTTTCTCTGCTCTGGAACTGGCTTTCTTTAAGCCCAGCAGGATGGCAAAACTGACCAATCCCCTCATTAGGGTTCCATACACCTTATTTGTGTGGTCCAACCCCTACAAGGGTGCCTTGAACCTTATTTACATTATTAGCAAGCTATCTAATCTCCTTGGTGGGCCACAAGCACTTCATTTGCATAGTCCCACCTAGTCACTTGGTGGGAGTTAGAAAGACTGTGGCTAGAAGGACCTTATTCAGTAATTCACTATACTGCATTCTTACCTGTCTTAACACATTGTATGTCTCCTCCTATGGACTGGCCAGCCTACTCTTGGTCGTGTGCCTCACCTTTACCTTTTATGAAAATTGTGATTGAAAAATTCCAGGTTAAATTAATTGAATCAGTGACCATCCACCCTGTGTGGGCAATGTTGCCCTGGGTATTATGGGGGAACTCAGGAGAAGAGAGTCAGGATATATAGATGAACACTGGACAATGATGAGAGGAAATGGCAAACACTAACCACCTAGACTCACAAACACATGCAGCACCATCCTCCTTAGAGCCAGCCTAGAAGTCAGTCTTTGAGCATTCTCACAGGATGTGAGACAAGGGATGACAAGGTGAGACAACAGGTGAGCCCTAGGCTAGCATTTCTTTTAGTGTATGTTTTAAGGGTAAAGATTTTCAATAACACTTAGACTTATCATTATTACATGACTTAAATATTTATAAACTTAAAATTAGGCAAAAGTACCTTAAACAACTTAAACAACTATGAATCAAAACATCTACAAATTAAATATAAACTGCAAAACACGTAACATTAAAAATGAATTTTACTAACTTAATACAAAGAGTTATGTTGTGTTGAAATCAAATTGTAGCTTGCCTTGTGAATAGAAGATTGATTGACCCTAGAAGCTTCTTTGCATTTTATAAGGAAAAAATCAAAATCCCACTTCTCTGATGCCAAC